AAGCGTGTGTGGAATGACCTTACACCATGGAAGTCCTCAGCTGCTTGGGGTTAGTTGCTGCTGGCAGAAGTTGGAGGTGTGTTCAGGCTGCTCTAACCCAAGAAATGAGGCTGATGCCCAAGGATTGTGGAACTATAAAAGGTAATTTTTAAACTTTGTCCACACCCCCAACACTCTTTACCTGTAATCCATGTAGATTAGCTCCAGCCCTCTACCCTTTTGTACAGAAATGTGTCTTAATTAGGCTTCAGGGTACTGAAACTCCTAGAACCTTTCCATTCATCTCTACATATCAAAATTAACTGTTCAAACTATTGAATGCACCTGCTTTGCCTGATATTACCCTAATTCAATATGCTACCTACAGCTATAATCTCTTGTACTCTGAATTTATAGAAATCAGATCTTTGAAAAAGCATATCTATGGTGTTTTTTTTTAAAAGGCTAACTCTAATAACCCATAATTCCATATTCTGCCTAACTCTCCCCAAAAGGCAAATCCCAGGTACTGTCATAACATTTTTTTTCTAATTTTGGGATGGATGTGCATGAAAGACTGTATTAATTAGCAGACTAGAAACTGCTCTGCAGACGATATGAAATGCTTACATTTGCTCTTCCAAAAATATCAATTTTGATGGGTAAGAACCTATTTTTGGCATGAAATATAAACTAAGGAAAATGCAAACAGAGAAATTCAGTAAAGAAGACATTAGCAAGAGTAATAGGAAGTTAGATTAACATGCTCATGATTATGCAAAATCAGTACCCTTCAGACATTTTGAATGTACAAATACACGTAATTCAACATAGAAAAGATGCAACAGACAAAAAAAACTTAAACATGGTCACCTTTTATTTTAAAATAGAAAAGTTATTAAAAATACAGTTTGGGGCATTTCAGCTACACGATTGGTGGAGGGGTTGATGTATGTTCAGTCCTGGGGGCTTCCAGAGCAGAGAACTATTAAAAAATGAAGTCCACTGCTCAGTTTGTTTGCTTCTGGGTCCCACAACATTATTTTTAAGGTAGGTTTTTCAAATTCTATTTTACTTCACAGTGATATTAATGATGCTGACATCTTCATATGGTTTGTCAGTTTTGGGATTTACTTTCACATTTGAGATCCTCTGAACAACTTCCATTCCTTTAGTTACTCGTCCAAATACACTGTGCTTGTTATCCAGCCAAGGCTGTTTAGGTGGTTGGAACGAAAAGAGGAAGCAGAATTTTTGTTAAAATATAAAGCATTCTGTAGGTTAAATAGTAGGACAGAAAGATTTAGTACTAGAATAAATGAACGCAAATGCAATTGTCGATTAAGGTTATTAAATTTTAAGCTTTACACTTTAAAGTGTAACAGGAGTACTTGTGGCACCTTAGAGACTAACAAATTTATTAGAGCATAAGCTTTCGTGGACTACAGCCCACTTCTTCGGATGCATATAGAATGGAACATATATTGAGGAGATATATACACACACATACAGAGAGCATTAACAGGTGGGAGTTGTCTTACCAACTCTGAGAGGCCAATTAATTAAGAGAAAAAAAGTGTATTCACTGTTAATTATTCTAACAAGTATACAGTGAAAGCATATAAAAGTGTCTGTTACTGTTCAACAACTCTGAATCTAGTTATCTCAATTTGTTTATACCCAAGTATTAATACAATATCTTGCAAGGCAAAAATGCTACCTATGCAGTCATTTTAATTCATAGACCTTCAAAGATGAAAAAATAACTTTTTTAAAATGGAATATGTTTGCATAAATTCCATTCCAACCTATTTATATATGAAAACTAATGCTTTCACATGCTTGAAACTCAGTTGTGACAATTATAATCTTCTATTTTTACCACCACTAGAAAATGGGTAAAGTTCATATTTGTGAGCAATTAAGAATTAGGTCTTATGTTAATAACATTTCCCTGCATACCACTACAGCTCTCTTAACATCAGCTATTAAATTGTTTATAAATGCCCCTAAAACAGTTCTAAAATGGCAAGTCTCTAAAATAGTAAAATGATGATGCATATGCAGATTGCTTCTAAGGACATCCAAAGGCTAACCTTTGAAGGTTTTTGTTTTGTTAAAGATTCACATACCAAAGTTTCCTACTTCTAGTATATAGTGTACTAAGTCACACAAAAATGAAAGTATTAATGGAGATATTTTGGGGCCAAATCTTGACCCTCTGTGCAAAGCCAGAATACAACAGGCCATAGGAGTAGTAGAGTCTATACCTGCTAAATCTTCACAACCCATGCAGAAGTTTTGCCAGACTTAGTGAGAGGGATATTTTTTAATAAACGAAAATTAAATTTAGATGTTAACAGCAGAAGATGTAACTCCGGTTAATATAAAATTTCATAGTCTACAATAAGATTTAAAATTTAACATGTGCCTTTTACTGTGTCTAAAGCCTTTCATAATCAAAGGCTAATCACTCCTTCTAAAGGACATTTTTCAGTTAAACTTAAGCGATGTGCTTTTGTCACATCATTAACTACATAAAATTAGCTGGACAACGGCATCCTCCTTCTTCACTACAGAACTGGCACAACTGCTTCTTTACATAGTACCATCATGGTTGATCTTCAAATCAGACCTTAAACTGGGTTTTAAAGATTACTTACAGTTGGTACCACTGTTATGAAGAACTGGGAACCATTGGTGTTTGATCCTGCATTAGCCATACTAAGTGTGTAGGGTCTGTCATGTCGTAAAGTTGAATGAAACTCATCTTCAAATTCTCCTCCCCAGATGCTTTCACCTCCCATTCCTGTACCAGTTGGATCACCAGTTTGAATCATAAAACCCTGCATAGAAATTAAACACACCATCACGTTTCGCTATAGAACATACAAATCTGCAAGGCTGTGTAATTCAAGACAAGATTTGTTTTTAAAAACTGACAGACTTTTATATAAGATATGCAAGTGTTAGAATAAAATCCAGAGTGCCCCAAATAGGGTTTTTTGTTGTTGTTGTTTTTTTAAAATGATGGCCAGCTCATCATCAGAATAAGATCCTCTAACATATCCTGTGGGTGAGATAACATGAGCCTGTAGGGGTTATGTACCTGTCATTCTGTACCTTCCGCAAAAGCGTTCAGTTTTATCAACTTGTTTTTCTATCCCATACATCAGAAGTTTAAAGCTTTACAAGATGTCCATTCCTGCAGAAAGCACAGACCTACCTAACGCCTACGTGCCTGCTTTGAGTTCTAAGTCATGTCATATCAGCCTGTTGCACTCCAGAGCTAGTGGAAAGGGATGAGCATCTGGCATGCCTCTTGGCTTTTCACTTGTGCAGTCTGGCCCCTTTGTATTTTTTTTTCTTTGCTTTTCTTTTATCCTTTGGAAGGAGGGTTTTTGTTTTTATCTGTTTGTTTGTTCCCAACTAGAGATCGATCCCTCTCCCTAGCTCGTGTTGTCTTCTTGCACTTTTTCTGCAGGGAGGAATCTAGCACCTGTTTCTCATTGTCGAATTCAACTGGAAAGTAAACACAAGGGAACATCCCAGAGGAAGCATCAGCAAGAATGCCAGACTCCTTGCTAAGGGACTATTACTCGATAGCTTTTCTCCAGAGGACAAGGGCTGGGGAAGTTTAGAATGTTCCCTCAAAAAACTCCCAATGGTTGAAGACAGACTTCGCTGCTATATTTCAAATGGCAAAGAGCTATAACCTGCCCTTGCAAAGGGTCTCAAGCTGGTGGGGGGATGACACAGAGATGTCCAGACTTTCAGCTTGTGCGAACAAGCTGTCCAGACTCCGAACCTATTCTCCAGGTAGAGCAAGGATTCGAGTGCGGGGAGCAACTGTGGCAGAGCTTCCGTTTTGTGTGTCCCGAGAATGCTTCCTCATAGGTCAAAGCTCCTCTTAGCCTTCAGTTTGCTCTTTAGGGCCAACTCCACCATGCCAGAAATGAAGGGGAGAAGGTCTGGGGTGGTCACATTCAGGGAATAATCCTTTACAAGAAAAATAGATGAGCAACCTTGGAGCCTTCATGGACAAGTCAGAGCTTCTGTATTTGCAGGAAAAGTGATTCAACTCAAGTGATTTCAACTAGGGAAAGGATCAGGATAAAAAAAAATTTCTCTTGCAAAATCTTCTTGATACATCCTAGTTCACAGAAGATCTCAGAATGTGTTATCACAAATATCAATAGTCCCATTGCAACTTACTTCTACTGATGTTGCATAGTAATGCACTCTGCAATATCTTCAGTGAACTAAGCACAACCAAGACTTTGCAGAGAGTTTGTTTGCCTGTTCGTTTTGGTTTTGTCCTGGGTAGCAAGGGCATTCAGTATAGTAAGGTAAAACCCTCAGAGTTACGAACACCTTGAAAATGGAGGTTGTTTGTAACTCTAAACAAAACGCTATGGTTGTTCTTTCAAAAGTTTATAACTGAACATTGACTTAATACAGGTCTGAAACTTTACTATGCAGAAGAAAAATGCTGCTTTCCCTTTACTTTTTTAGCAGTTTATGTTTAACATAGTACTGTACTGTTTTTGCCTTTTTTTTGGTCTGCTGCTGCCTGATTGCGTGCTTCCGATTCCAAATGAGGTGTGTGGTTAACTGGTCAGTTCGTAACTCAGGTTCTACTGTAATCTGTGCTTAACTCAAAATTTCAGTTTTCAGGTTTGCTCTGCAGTTTACCAGCAAGACTACTACTTTTAAACTGAACTATAACCTTCCTAAATCATAACTTTCTTCAAAATCTAACAGTTCCCAATCACACAATTTAACTGATTTAAATATAATAATTCACCATGCTTAAATATAACAAAAAAGCAATATAAATGACGAATTCAGACAGAACTGGCACAGATGTCTTATGCTCTGTATTTTGTGTCATACAAACCAACAGGAAAAGCATTAGTCTCTTGTAAATTACCTTGATAATACGGTGAAATGTGTGCCCATTGTAGTAACCATTCCTGCTGTGTACACAGAAATTCTCCACTGTTTTGGGGCACCTGCAATTGCATAACAAATTTAAGGCAAGACTAAATAATACTTAATTTTTACTGCAGTAGTGCCCTAGGGGCTCCGCCTGAGATCGAGGACCCATTGTACTGGGCACTACACAAAAAACACATAATAAGACATAATAAGACAGACCCTACCCCCAAAGAATGCATAAGCTTAACAGGTAACCGACAAAAAGCAGGAGGCATAGATGGGTGCAATGACTTGCCCAGGGTCACACAGCTGGTCAACAGCAGGGCCATAAAAAAAGCCAGTTCTCCCAAGACTAGTGCCCTAACCACTAGACAGTATGTCCTCCCCATAGTTCCACTTACATACTGTAGATAAAATTACAAAGTATTAAGAAGTATAAAGTGGAACCAATGTTCACAACAGCAGTAGTATGCAACTCACAAGCAGAAAAATAAATTAACATCCCTTTACCAAGGTAATTCTATCAAACAATGGCCTGCAACATGAATGGGTATACCAAGTGACGTGTTCAATACCATCTAATAGAAGTAAGGAATTTGAGGATTAAATGCTTTAGTGCTAAAGGAAACTTCTAGATCAGCACAGAGCCACACAGTTCTTTACCCCTTCTTTAAAACTGAAACTGCTGATTGTCAACATACAAATACTGTTTGGATCACAGAGGGACTAGATTATACATTACTGCTAACAGAATAAAGAACCTTTCACCATCATGGCTTGAATTTGACACAGACAAAATTGTTACCAGAGTTACAGAACAATGTAACAACATTACACTTAATCTACACAAAAACTTTGTTGTAAAGCAGTTAGGGTTGCTTTACACATACAAATATACCTGACTCAGATCCACAAAAACATGAAAATGAAAAGTTACGCCACTTAGCCATACATACCTGGCTTATCCACCCAGAGGCACACAAAATACCATTTATCACAAATGCTGTATATGACAAAACATGCATTCCAAACCTTAACTCTGTCCTCTTCAACAAACCTACATACTCTTAAGTACTATTAGTTGTGGACATTTGTTGTAGTAGGGCGTTGTATAGGGACAGTGTGGGTTGGTAAAGGAAGTGATAGAAGGCTAGCATTATTGGGGGCAGAGTGAAGGTTGTGTTGCACAGTGCTGTATGGCAGTTGTGATAATGGTAAGGCACGTATGTGTCTGTGGGTGGAGGAGCATAGAGTATGTACTGTTGAGTGGGTTTACTTTTCATGTCCATGCGTTTGTGAAACCGTCAGGGCTGCTACACATACAACAAACCTTAAGTGCTTCACAACAAAAAGTTTTTGTATATTAAGTTCCTAGGGATTTTTAATGCTTAAGTGGGCTTGGAAAGTTGAGAAGGAGCAGACGTTGGGGTACAGAAGTACAGATGTGAACAGAAGATTTTATTCATCAACAGTTGTACACAGAACCCTTCTCAGTTGTGTACCAGCAGTTGAACATAAATGGCATAAATTCATGCATAGTTGCACGTAAAACTTTCTCCATTGTAGGATACAATTTTGACGGAGAAGGTAGCTCTCATGAGTGGTTTCAGGTTTGCAATGGCACAAAATTTATGCATAAAGCAATTTCTTTCGGAGTTGCAGGATGCATCATCCCTCTGGTTTAGAAAGCTGTTGGCAGATCTGCTGCTGCCACCCACATGTTCTATTCTCCTTTCCCCTAGACTGCGTGAAATAGCACAGCTCTGCTATCTCTGCAGTAACACATAACTTGCATAAAACAGTGCTGTATCACACCAGCATCTGGGGGAGAATCAGAAAAAGAACAAAACAAGGTAAAAAGAGCAAATCCATAAATCAGAAAATGAAAAATAAAACAAGAACACAGAAGAAAGGAAAAGAAGATAAGGAAAAATAGGTGAGATTTGACAACTTAGTCAGACATGATACAAGCAGACTTGAGGATTTACAGTTTCTAAGGAATACTCCAACAACAAAAAATGTTGAGAACCACTGCCCTTGCTACTGCTTTAAGCTATTTTTTGCCCTAGTGTGCTTGCCAACATCCCAGCCGCTTAATTTATATAATTAATTAAGCAAATATGCAAGCAATAATATTATGTAATAAGATGGGGAGCAATTATGTAATTTGGTGGGGAGCAGGGGAAACCAAATTTTAAACAGTGGTAATCGACAACAAACAGCCTCAAAGAAAGTAATAATAAAAGCAAAACTCTTTTTAAAAAGGTACCAAATACATACTCAACAGGGAAAAGCTTGACATGAATATCTCCCATACTTGTGTGGATAATGGCACTATCAGAAACCCTTTTGGGGCCTTCAGCTTGAGTGGCTGCCATGACCTCTTCCTTAGATGGTTTCTCATTAAATACATCTCTGTCAGAATCTGCACTCTTTGTATCTTCTGGTTCACGTTTAGTAAACTGAAGAACAAAAGACAAAGGTTGCTACCTTTATTTTTTCTTATTTAGATACCATACAAAGCTAAAAATCAGTGAGAAAGATCATATTATAAAAGTCTATCTTCCTGCATTTCAGTATGTGTGAAATAAAGATTGACAGTCCTTCCACCTGCAGATTAAAGGTCACAATTTCCAGTCCAGATATAAGCTGGTTAGTTTATAAGCTGACCCCCCCCAAGATGGATAAGTAAAAATGGAAAATTTTTATGACCCATTCATAAGCCGACCCTAATTCAGGGGTTGGCAAACTTTGGCTTCCGGGCCATCAGGATAAGCTGCTGGCGGGCCAAGACAGTTTGTTTACCTCGAGCGTCCGCAGGCAGGGAGGTAAACCTAAGTAAACAAAGTGTCCCAGCCCGCCAGCTGCTTACCCTGACAGGCCGGGACAGCAACTGATGGGGAAATTTGGGGGGGGGGGGGGGGGGGTGTCAGGGGAGTAACCCATGATCACTCCCCACATGACCCCACCCCAGTCCAGGACCTCCACATTCTCCCCATTCCATCCCTTCCCATCTTAGCTGGGGCGGGCCAGGGGAGGATGTCTCTGGCCTGGCTGGAGCTGCTCCAACAGGCTGGGTGGCGCGGCCGCAGAGTGCTCCGGCATAGCGGGCAGCGTGGCCGCAGCATGCCAGTCCCGGAGCTGCAGCTGCTTTGGAGGCTGGGAGGAGAGCAGCATGCCCAGAAGTGGAGAGACTCTGGCCCCGCCTCTTCCTTGCTGGCTCTGCTGCCTCTCCTTGCCCCCTCTGTAGGGGGGGGGGGAGGTTGTCTCACCTCTCCCCCTCTCTATACCCGTTCATAAGCTGACCCCCTTCTCTGGTGCTTCCCTTTTTTACTAAAAAAATGTGGCTTATGAAGGAGTATATACAGTACTCTTTTGTGATCTCTCTCCCCTAGACCTCTTGCCTGCCTTTAACATTGTTTTATTTAAAAGGGAAGAATGTAAAATTTGTACAGGTAACGTACACTAATTCTCAGGCAATGCTCCTTGTGCTAGGATCAGACAGAGTTGGAAGTCTCTCTTGATTTCATTACACGGGTATAGTAAGTACTCTTATTCTGTCTTTATACTAATATAATACTATCGAAAGACATTGATTAATTCAAAGAGCCGTTCCCATCCACAGCAATATGATCCCTAGACTAGTCCTCAAAAGGCAGAAGACAAAACTAGTTAGAGAAAACCCACAATAAAGGTCAAACAGTAGAGGAGTGTCAGCATACAGCACCAAGAGTGTACATTATAAAGTTTCAGATGGCAATTACAGTCACTGAAATACAGTATATTTTCTGTATGTTTGATAAATACAAAGGTCCCATATCCTGTCAAACTTTTCTTCCTGGTCTGTACTTTTGCAAGTTGTGTGTTCAGTTCTATAATTGCCTTCTGATAGTTTAGAGTACGCACACTTGGTGCTGTATGGTAACAATCAAGGTTAAGCACAAATACTAGTTAAGCAAATGACAGTCAGGCTTCTGCAACCAATGTCTGTTACTTGTCTATACAGTGCTTAGCACAAATGAGCCCTGATCCTTCATTGGGGTTCCCAGGCACTGTAGAGTAATTACATTATATATATATATATATATATATATTATATAGCTTCAAAAGAAATCCTAACTACCAAACACAAGAACTAAATCTTTACTAAGATATAAAGGAGTCCAAGATTCACAATTTCTTGACCAACTCAGTAAAAACTGAAGGATCATGAAGCTACTCTCAGATAAATCCAAGCTAAAAATTCTGAAATATTGTTGTAATTTAAGGAGTCTTGTCTGGGAAAGTTGTCACTACCAAAATTCTTCAAGTCAAAAAGCACTAAAAAGTCTGTGAGAAGAAGTTTAAAAAACAAAACACACAAAATAGACTAATGCAAGATAGAAATTATTCAAACAGAAACCATACATACCATGTAAAACCTGTTCTTTTTGAAAGATGTGCAGACTATTGTTGGATCTGCCTGGATATTCTGGAGAACAGGGTTTTCAGATGCTTTCATCTCTATAGTGGTTGCAGCACGATGTTTCTTTGCCACACCTTGGAACAAAGCCAGTTGCATCACCCTGATATTTTCCTGTTTCCCTAAGATACGAACACACCTATAGTACATGGTGTTTAAAAACAAAAACGAAAAAAGAAAAAAGGCTGACTACTGTTAAACTTTCATATTATACAGTCTCTCCCCTCCAGCCATAACTAGACTCTTAGCAGAATTCAAGAAACACTACTCCTCATCTTATAAAAATATATATATATGAGAGAGAGAGAAGGGGCAGGAGGGAATGCTATTACAAGCTTATTTACAATGCTTTCCCTTTTCAAAACCGTTACAAAAAACTTACTACTCAGCCTTTCCTACCCTAAAAATCCCAAAACCATTGATCCTCATTTATTCTACCGTGCAGAATTATAAACAAAACTGTCATTAACTTTCCATTAGTGTATCTGATTGTATTTACTATTAGCCAGAAATGGACTGCCTGGGCAAAATACTTATTCCAAGGATTTTTATGCATATCTTCTCTCATTTTACCAAGTTTTAAGCCATAAAATTCAATATTTGGCATACAAACAGTTCCTTTTCAACCTAATTTAACAACCGCCCCCTCCCGAAGAAATAGAAAGATCTATTAACATGCAAAATTTTAAATGGAACAAGAATATTAAAAAATTGGCTGAAATGAGACTTTTTGAGACTAACTATTATATGTAGGTGCATAAACACAGTTGGAATAAGACTTACCGGTTAGTTTCTACATTTATGACCTTAACACCCAGCATTGTTCCATAGAGCACGAAGTGTCCAGTTTCATCAAAAATTATGTTAATTAACCTGACTGCATCCACCTTCTCCAACTCACGCTCAACAGCCATACGTCGGCCAAACTCCATGTCTGGCAGCTGTTGTCTCATCTGTTGCAGCTCAGTAAACATCTACAGAAACAAGACAATCAATCACCAATGGTATGAACGTACAATAATGCTGTGGTCTAGCAAAGCATTGAAACACACACTTAACTTTCGCTTCAGTAGGATTACTCAACTACTCACAAAATTAAATAAATATTTGAATGAATCATTCAAGTATTTCCTTTAGCTAAAGCAGGAACTGAAATATACACAATTAGAATTATTTTTCTTTTGACTATCAAAACACGAGCTGTAGTTAGCATCCAAGACCCTGGACAAATTTTAAAAAGTATGTTTGCTCTAGCAAAGCTATCTTTAAAAAGGATTTTTTTCCTTACATTTTTCTCCTGATTTTGATTAAAGCAGACATTTTTTCCAAATGGTTTCTAGCAAATGGGCAGTCTAGCTGCACAAAAATTACAAAATTTCCTAAATGAAAAACAGCAATTAAATTTCAAAGTATATTCAGCACAGATTAATATGTAGAAGTTAGATACCACAGAAATATAAGATTAAAAGATGCTAATATAGAAAAAAACTCCTTTGTAAGATAAAGTAATAAAACCCATCTTTATAGAAACTGGTGATAAAGTAGATAAAGGTACTGGTGAGTAAATTAATATGCAAAAAAAAGAATAGAAGTCAGAATATAGAAGCAAAATTGAACTCACACTCAGGGATTCATCAAAGACTCTCATAAGCTTCCCAGTCAAGAACCTGAAAATTCTAACTTTTCTATCGGAACCAATAGTGGCCATTTTCTTGCCATCAGGTGAGAAACATATACTGGATGGGTAAGCTTTACATTTAGCAAATTCATATAAATCAGTGTCTGTTTTATACTCCCAGTTCACATTTTTGGGGAATTTATATTCATGAGGAGGCCCAGTCCAGTATTCAATCATTCCAGACTTGTCAGAAGACACTACTACTTTGTAGGTGGGGTTCAGCCGTATCTGAGTAAGAGGGGATGTATGGAGTTTATCAAAAATATGAAGTGGCTGGTTATTTCCTCGACCATCGTATATGAATATCTTTCCTGTGCTCTTCTCAGAAGATGCAACAGAAGATATGGCATCTCCAGGGCAGTATATCCATTCACACTGGCCAGGGTAGTAGCTGGAACAGAAAGTAGAGAAAAAAAACAAAAACAAAATAAGCAGGCCTTGATTTACCTAGATAGATCTGCATAACAATTTGCTAAAGAGACAAGGTGGGTGTTGTAATATTTTTTATAGAACTAAAAAGATATTACCTCACCCAACTTGTGTGTCTAATATTCTAGGATCAAAATGGCTATAAAACAATACTGCAAATAACACTTGGCTACACATTCGTCTAAGGGCTAGATTTCTGTTCAGTATTATTTTCGATATTACAGATAAAGAGAGATCAATAATTTGATAGTCCAGGACATATGTAGCAAGTTACCTCCTCAATTTTTTGAAGTCAACTGAACTATCAATTTGAAATCAAATGGCAGAGGCAATTTTGGGGTAGAATTATTATTTACTGCTTTGATAATATGTGGTCTATGAAAATTCAGTGGTTTATTACCAAAGGAATGTGCCAGTTACCTAATCTCTGCTTTTCCACAATGCTTCACAAAGTAGTTGTGACAGGAAGTTAGGGTACAGAAGGTAGGTGGGGAAAATAAGGATGTGATCCACTACAATATCTGGTGTGGAAATCTATTACTACTAAACTTTCATGACAATGGCATTTCTTCTCTGTCCTGAAATTGATAATTTAAAGTCAGATTTTGGTGCAAGTGAAAACAAAGGCACTTTTGCCATCAAATTCAACAGGAGCAGGATCGGGTCCTGCAATAAATCACCAGGACTTAATTACAAAGTGATTAATAAAAAGTTCAATAGATTATAAATTGCAATAAACCACCAGGACCAAATTATATTAATCAAGAATTCTGAAGGAATTTAAAATGAAATGGTTTAGCTGCTAGCAAAGATATGTACTCTAATTAAAATGAACCAGAGGACTGAAGAATAGCCAACGTTATGCTTATCTTTTAAAAGGATGCTAACAGAGACCCTGGGAATCATAGACCAATGAGCCTTATTTCAGTATCAGATAAGCTAGTTGAAACAATACTAAAGTTAGAATTATGAAAAACAAAAACTAACATTATGTAATACAAAGAACCAGTACAGCCTCCGGGGGAAAACTATGCTATCCAGAATTCTTCGACAACTCAACTATCAAATCTCTAAGAATTGGTAGATAAAATTATTTTGGACTTGCAAAATACTTTTGGTAAAGATCTTCAAAAAAGACGCTATTAAGGAAATTAAGTAGTCGTGGCATGAAAGGCAAAGTTCTGTCATGGATTAAAAACTGGTTAAGAGGCAGAAAACTAGAGAATAGCTGTCACAATGGCAGTACAGATACCAGACTGTGATTGGCTCTCCAGTTAAAAACAGTAGCTCCTACCCTAACTGGGTTGATTTAAAAACTGGTTGCAAGTGCACTGTTAAATATTAAAGTAAGTAGAAACAGTAAGGTAAACGGAGAATAGGATTAAAACAAAACAAAAAAAACAATCAGCCCTAATAGAAACACTATGTTAATTTCACTATGTTAATATCGCAGTAATAGGTGTGGTACAAAATGCCTATGTTGCTATTATACTTTCAGTCTAAAGACCTGACAAGAATTTTCTGTGGGCTACAGAACTCTTGTTTTTTCATTGTTTTTGCTCTCTTATGAGATATGACTAACATCATGTATCTTGTCAGATGCTACATGACAAATATCCTTGAATGTCAGGTGCATGTCATACTGAAAAATATGAAAACTTTGTTGCACACTTTTTACACCAGGAGATTAAAGCCACATATTAGTACAATTCTACATATATCAGGAAATCTCTAAACTGCTGGGCACATTTCTAATAGCACACACTCCCTTAACTTAGTTAAATGAAGGCTGATTGAATAAGAGTGAATTAAACTACATTCGGTTTGATTATTTTAAGTTAAAAAAAATGTCTAAGTACTCAAAACACTTACGATCACCAAAAATGTTTTTACAGAATGACATGACTTACCCAAGTTTCAGCATGTTGATCATATCAAAGTTCACTACATCAAACACCTTCATTGCTTTGTCATCCCCAACAGAACAGAATAATGCCCCTTCTGAACTAACTGCAATACTCTCAATGACCCCTGTTACAATAAACCCAATATAATATTAAAACATGGAAAAGACAGATACGCTTCATGCTTTGTTCTGAAAGTTATATTTACCACTTTGAAGGATTATTCAATTATCATTCTGTACTACAGCTTTAAAATACAGATACTATATACAACAATTGCAGGCTCTAAAATGTTGTTCTCAGATCTGAACAACATTTTAGAGACTGCAATTGTTGTATATACTATCTGTACTTTAAAGCCGTAGTACATAATAATAATAATAATAAAAAGAGTTCTACATTGCACTGTTCATGTCTGCATTGTCTTGGAGTAGTTAGCCACTGTACAGAGAATTAGTGACCTAACATAAAATTGCTTATTTTTTTAATTGGTCCACTAATCCCACTTAAGAAAATAATGTGCTTTTTTTGGCTCAGAAAGGATCAAATTTTGAACGTGTAAACATACTTGTTGAGTCAATGGTAGCAATTAAACTTTTGGAAGGACTCTAAAGGATAAGTTGATTGGTACATCTAATTAAAAATAGCAATTTACAAGTTTTACTGTTACCATGAACAATCAGTATCATCAAGTTCTAAAAATGAAGCATAGAAAATTATAAAATAAATTGTTAAGAATCCTGTAAACAATACACCTAACAAACATTAAAGTTTATTTCCACAGTAACTCCTAATCCCTCAGAATCCTACTACATAATGGAGTAGGACCAGATTCTCCAGCTTTGGAGAACACCTGATGAAACAAATATTTAACTACTACTAGATATTGCAAATATAGAACATAGATAGTAGAGTTGAAGAAAAATTGTGTTCTAATAAAAACAGATCAAATACAATATGATTTCTTACCTAAATGGCTACGAAAATGTTTAACAAATTCAATCCCTTCTTCTACTTTCTTCCAGAATTTGACATGTCCATCATGGCTGGCAGTTATGATAAAATCTGTCCTGCAATGATAAGTGTATCAATTGAAACATAACATTAAGAACTAGAGTGTGGAAGGGAAGAATCAATAATGGTGTACAAGACCAGTTTACTAGTACAGCATAGCTATTGAGATGGATATGCATTTTTTTCCTTTTTCCTCACTCAGAAAAGTACAACATGAATATATAATGTATTTGCAACTAGTGGGTAACAGCTAGTATCAAGACCTTACATATTAGTACAATATTCTTTATATCTTACTGTAAACAATCTTGAGTCTGTCAGTGTGCAGTAGCAGTTCGATCTCAGTATTAATCATTAAAAAGCAAGATATTACCTTCCCACACTCTGTGACTTGATTTGTAAAGAGACTACACCAACTTAAACAACACACTTCAGTCATTTTTTTCATGCTAATATTGTTAGAAGTAACATGCAATTATAATAGGTTAGAGATTTTTTTCTGTCTCTGCAGTTGTTTACACAAGCAGGAGAAGCTATCCATCAAAGGCATCAAAAAGTAGTTATTTCACATAGCAATAGGGATGAAAAAAAGTAATTTAAGAATAGGAAAATGGGGTTTTAAATCCACAAAACTAAGCAAGGGATTACACGGTACTACTTTTAAATTGACGAGATTTCAAATGTGTCTCTCTTTAACCAAATCAAATCTATTTGAAGTAGCTCTGAAGAATTTAAAATCCCACCTCCAAAATCCTCAAGTTCCATTAGGAAAGTTTCTATTTAAAAACAAACAAACAAAAAAAACTTCCTATCATATACACATAAAAGTTTTGAGACTGCAAGACACTGTGAAAAACAAAAGACTCACTTAGTACACACTACATGTGTAATGACATCTCTGTGCATGTAACTGCGTTCATACATTGAAGCACTCGGAAGATTTTCAAGGTAGACATGTTCAAATTCAAGGACTGAACAAAATAAGAGAAAAGCATAAATTATTTCCTTTTAATAAATATTATATCCCATCTTCTGCTCTCTATTATTATTTACACTTGGATTAGTTTACCTGCATTAGTTTTAGTCAAAAAGGTAAGATACCAGGGCATCATGCTAACATTATGAATGAGATTTCTACCACTATTTTTTGAACCTGAATCTCCCAACTGCTGGCATGCTAGAAATAGCTAATCTCTCATTTCATCAATATTTAAATAATATTTAACCATTTTAAATAATTACATCTGTTTTCTGAAATGATAAAACAATATTAATGTCAAAGGTCCAAAGTCTGTCCCTACATGCATTTTCTCCCTCCCTCTGCCCCACCGCTAATTAAGTTAACTTGAGCATCGAAGATCAGAATTTGGCTTTATGCAAATACTTCTTTAAAGTTTATTATTTCTCATATAAAGGAAAACTTTCACAAAGAAGCCTTGAAAACAGAGTATCTATAGAAAAAAATCCTTTTGTTAGAGAATATCTATAATTTTCAGAATTTTGGGGACGTGTTTAGAATCAATACATCTCAGGTCGAGGTGTCATAATTTATTCCAAGAAGAGAGATAATTAGTCATGACCCAAGGTTTATGGATTTATGCCCCTTCTAAACATTGTTTTTCTTTTAATCCTTACCAGTATTGTGTTATTCTCTGGAACACACACAACTTTGCAAGATTCAAAATAGATTGGACATTATATGGATAATGAGAACATTCAGTCACATACTGGTAAGGATTAAAAGAAAAACAATGTTTAGAAGGGGCATAAATCCTTAAGCCTTGGGTCATTCCATTTGCTACAGTCATGGACATCATTATCCTCTGTTTGATATGTTAGTTGAAAACAAAGTCCACTTATATAGGTATCTGAAGTTACTGCTTCTTATTTTAATTGAACATATTCTTGTTTTTTTCCTCTCAAGAAGGTATCATCTAGGGACAGTACAGCAAAAATAACTAATATTAGAAAAGGTGGTCTATAACTACAGTCATGAAAGAACTCATAAAACAAACAAATCTTCAATCTTTGTTACAAGATGACAATATCTGAACAATAAGAAATGTGTTTACTGACAGGACAGATGTAATCACTGCTACTTCTGAGCACTCAAAAACATGTCAGGTACCTCACAAAAGTTGTAACAACATTGTACCTGTCCTGAAGAGTTTGTAGTGTAAGTCTGACATGACAAAAATGTGTGATTCATAAACAGACTAAAGGGAAAGGAGAGAAAAATGTGACAATGATATCACACAGTTATTGAATAGGACAAATATATTTCTTGAAAGTTCCTTTGTTTTTTTTTTTATCATCTTTCTCCTTCCATTTTTGGTGGTTTTCATTAAGCAACTAAATCAGCGTCATCATTTGTGTGTCACTATTTAAGATCTAACAATTGCATCTCTACCCATTTCATTAACAGACTGCAAAATGAATCTGATTCTTTATGGTCCAACCCCTTAAATGACAACCATGACTATTTGTCTAGCTGGAGGCTACTGCACTCATTGCTATTTAATTTAGTAGGCCTGTGTGCGGATGAAGAGTCAATCCCGTGTTTGTATTATGGCAGAATCCATGATGGAGATGTCAATCAGGCAACTCTGTTAAAACGGTAGCAACAAAATAACAAGCAGCTGATTGCCAGTAGTTGTCTATTTTTGAGATTTTAAACTTTGTAAAGAATCTGTTCATGCAGGTGTTCTCCAAGAAGTATGTCTGTTGCTTTACCCTAGCCTTACAAATAAAATGTGATCTTCCTTGTAGTGAAGTTAAGCTTTTCCTTTTGGGTGGAATAGTAATTAATCTTCATAAGTGAAAGCATTTCAAACTGTAGGCCTCAGTTGTGTATGCTTAACTTCCATACTGTGAATAGCAGGGTTACTCGTAGTAGTAAAGTTAAGATTGTGCCTGTTTGCACAATCAAAGCCATAGTGAGTGACATCTTGAAGCATCTGTTCCTATAACTCTCTTTCTTAAGGCCAAGAGAAGCATGTGAGATTTAGAACAAGGACAAGTTTCAAGTTCTTGTGCTGTGCAACCTTCAAAACAAGTCAGAGAATGCAGCATCTTAAATATTTGCCTTTGTTGCATTAATGAAAGAGGAACCACTCTTTGACAAAACGCATATTCACGTACTGCTCTTAGCCAATTCTACACCTAAGACAACAGACTTTACAGCACTGGCATGAAAATCCACCAGCTGGGGCACAGCGTTTTCCCGATCACCTTTTATAACAACAAAACAAAGGTATTTTTATTCAAGAGGAGAAGGAGGAGCTACTTATTATGGGCACATGGGATCGCGCACGAGGCTGGATCACAGCCACTTTGGGGGCAGTTTTGATTCTGTTCCCTCAAAAATGCCAACGGAGTAAGTGTTTACCATCGCTCCGGCACCGCGCTCCGGCACCGCACTCCAGCACCCTCCCCGACCAGCGCCCGCCCGCCCGACCAGACTCCCAGCCCAGCCCGGACCGCTCCGCTCCCCCGTGTCCCAGACCAGGGCGCGGCTCCCCACGTTACCTCTCCTCTTTTTGGCCTGCGCAGCCTCCCCCGGGAGGGGCCCGACCCAGCGCTCCTCTTCCTCCGGTTCCTCGTCTCCATCCCCAGCTACGGCACCCACCGCTGCCTCCTCGAGCTTCCGCCTCTTGCGCTCCGAGTCGGCGGAGGCCATGTTAATGTGCGTCACACGCCTGCGACACGCCCCGCTCGGGCGCCCGACAGTGAGGGCGGCAGCGCTTCTCGCCGTCAGCCGGACACAACCAGTGAGAGCGCAGCGCGCGCAGATTGAGGCGCGTCGGAAGCCGCTCAGGTCACCTTGAGGACTGGAGGGCGCTGGAGCTCGCCATGGTAACGGGCTGTTTCCCCCCATCCTTAGGGCCCCGTCCCGAGTGTCTGCGCCTCAGTTGCCCCGGGCCGCGCAGGCTGCGTCGAGTCCCCGTTAACTCCCCCAAAGGCCGCAGGCGGGGGCTATGCCTAGGCGGCCGCTCTCTGGGAAACCCGGTAACCACCCACCAGCCCTGCTGTGGGGGTGGGACCTGCTGCTCCCAGGCTGTCTGTTTCCGTCGCCATGGGTGTCCCCTCCCCACCGTCCTGCGTCGCCTGGGCTAATGCCCTGCTGGGGCTGCCGCCCGGGTGCTGCTCTCTGTCTCCCCTTTCGTCACCCCTCACCCCAGCACCTCAGGCGGTGTGTAAACGCACCACTGAAGTGCAGCAGTACGGGGGAAGGGGCAAAGGACTCGGGCTTGCTCTTATGTCCATGCAAAGCAAAGGAGGCCTTGGTTTTTACAGGTTCAGTCCAGCCTCCCCACAGTAAGTTGCATAAGCATTAAGGCTTTCTATCTTGGACGGACAAAGGTTTTTTTATTTTATTTTATTTTCATATGAGAGTTTTTTCCAGTCGTTTAATCATTCCCCATGCTCTTCCCAGACCTTCCTCTAGTTACACAATGGTGTTTTTGAGATGGGGTGATCAGTACCGCGTGCAGTATTCCATGGCGGTCACAGCATTGATTTATCTATTATAAAATTTTAGGTAGTCTTCTTATGCATTATAACATTTTGGTCTTTTTTTTTTTTTTGGACTGAACTGAGCAGAGATTTTCATTGAACTTTCTCTAGTAACCCCCTAGTTAGATTAATATTGTTTTTGATGTACCCGTAAGGTGAAAGACTAGTTAAATTTTTCCATCCAATGTGCATAACTTTTGATTGTTACCGAACTATCTCTCTGACTCTGCCTCCCCCAGCCCTTCAGTGACAGCCCACCCTGGGGAACGGGGTTGGGAACTCACTGGCCACCAGTTTCCCTGTTCCCCAGCTGGGCGGGAGCAGGGGAGCTGTCCAGTGGAGCATACTGGCAACCAAATGCTGCAGCCACCTCCACTGCCGAGAGCCACCTCTGGTGCCATGCACACGGTGGGCTGTCCAGGGGTGCAGGGTGCCGATCCCAGCTGCCTGCGCAAACACCAAGGCGGCAGATCTCACTGGCATTGATAACAGCTATTCAGGAGCAACAACTGGGCGCTGCAGGGAGGGGCTGATGTTTTGCCACTCCCCCCCCAATCTCTGCCCATGCTTTGGAGGCTGTCATGGCAGCAAAAAAATCCGCTGGTGGCTGCATTTGAGAAATGCTGCTTTAGTTTATTGGCTTCACTAGAGGCAGATTTCTAAATTTTGCAGGATTTCTGTTTGGCTCAAGTAGTCTCTTGAACATTTCCATTTAACCTTGCCTTCCTGGTTTCCTTTTTGTTTAACGGTAATAACTTCCGAGATACTATCCTAGCCACTTCTAGGGATTTTACTTGCTTTACTTTTAGCTTTAGAGCCATTTTGACTATCATTTTACTGAAATCTCCTTTTCCAGAGTTTAGTGTAAGTGGTTTTTTTTTTTGTTACTTTACTGAGTTTTTGATGTTGAAGAATGTAGGGTTGTTGGATTTTTTGCCAAATTTCCATACTGCCAAATGTATTTAGAGAAGAAGACTGAGAATTCCCTATTGCTCTGTAAGATTAGAGCAGATCTTAACCAAGGCAAACTATTTGCATTTCTCATTTAGTCTGTCTTAAGGTTGGTGTGGGGTTTTTTTGTTTAATTATCATCATCATCATCTGTTGTTTTGGTCACAAGCTTTTCTGTGTTCAAACCTGCTACTTAAAAACCATATTAATACACAGGAGATTTGCATATATGCATGCTAATAATTCTGAAGCTGTTTCCTTTACAGCACTGTAATAATCTGTATCTGGAATTTAACAAGACTATTAGGAGGTAACACCGGTTATCTTCTGTTTTTAGGAGAGGGTAGAAGCAGCTCCATGTCTCGATTTTTAATTGTTTGAAATCTGCAGTGTTCTACAACTAGTTTGGGAACGGTCTTGTATATTTAAAAAAAAATGTTCCTGGTATTTCCTTTTAATTATTGTCACTGCTTTCTGACTGACATACTTCTCATACGTAGTCTTCCCTTATGTTGGCATTCAGAGTAAGAATACAGAATTCTGAATCTGATTCAGGATATATGCTTGTATGAAGACAGTGAAACCCAACCCCTCAGTCCTGCAAGTTATTCAGTGTAGGTGGCCCCTATGTCCCTAAGGAGCCTAGCTGAAGCTAATGTGGTTCTGCAAGGATGTAGGGGTCTACCTGCATGGAATACACAGAGGATCTAGGCCTAAATAATTATTAAAGTAGTGTGGATATAGACTTGAACTGAATTAGCTGAGCCAAAAGGATGTCATATGAAGCAGCACAGAAAGATTGTTAGCTTTGTCACAAGCCATATATTGTAAAAGAAATAGATATTACAAAACTTTAGTAGTCAATATCACTTATTTTTTGTGCTTTTGTTATAGGATAAACAAGATGAACTTTTAAAGGAGGTATGTACACTTCTGGTTCATTTATTAGGTTATTTGTTAAATTTAAGTAAATTGTTTGTGGCTGTTCTACATAAAGCTAAATTTAAAGAAAATGTTCCTTGAAGATATTAGAGGCAATTTCTGTCAGGTAGTTCCGGTTAAAAACTTGAGATAGATTTATTATAGGAAATAATAATAATAATAATAATAGTAATGTTCTTATAAATCACAAGTTTAAAATTTATTACTTTAAACTCGTGTATATTTTTATGTTGTCATTGAATTTGTTTGCCATTCCAAGGGGACTATAAATCTCACTATCTATGTTCACTAGTTTTTACTTATGAAATTATCTTTGTAGGGAAAACTAAATCCATTTTTTTTTTAAACCTGGTGTCCATTGAAGTATTTTAAAAAAAGAACAGCATTTGTTTCTTACTGAGTAATCTCACTCCTGGATTTTAGACATTTTATAGCAGCATAATTATTTTGGTTTACCTACCTTTTTTATAAAGTGCAAAGTACATGTTTTCATTCATTAAAAAATGTAATGATTAGTCATATTTTCTGTCCTCAGCTTTCTTGTGAAGAAAGGAAGTATTAGTAATGCTTCCCATTTTACAAATGGGAAATTGAAGCACAGAGATTAAGGCCTTGATCCTTCAAACACTTACATAGATGAGTAACTTTATCTTTGTGTGTAGACCTGAGCTCATTGAGAATTTCCATGTGCACAAAGTTAGTTATGCATAGGAGTTAACAGGACTAGGCGTATGTGAAGTGCCCAAGGTCACACAGGATGTCAAACCGAGATCCGAGACTCAGGATATATCTGCACTACAAAATTAGGTTGATTTTATTTAAGTCGACATTGCGCCTCCAATTTAAGCAAGTCGATTTTGCATGTCCTCACTATGCTCTTTGTGTCAGCAGAGCACATTCTCACTAGCAGGGCTTGCATTGACTCATGGAGTGCTGCACTTTGGGTAGCTATCCCACAGTACCTGGAGCCAAGTGGAATGTTCGGTTGGGCTTGCAATGCCTCATGGGACCAAAACATTTGTGCGGGTGGCTATGGAAACATGGCATTAGCCTCCCATGTTGCACTTACCTAACTCTCTCCCTCCCTCCCTGAAATCAATGGCAAACAAACCAAGCCTTTTTTCCTAAGTCTGGGTTACCTGCGCAGATGCCATAGCACAGCAAGCATGGACCCTGGTCAACTGTACACTGTTGTGAGCATTACAAACACCTCACGCCTTATCCTGCAGTATTTGCTCAGCTGAGGCAGGAGCCACCAGTGGAACAATGTGATGCCACCCAAGCTCTGCTGGAAGCCATGGAGCGGAGCAATTCGCAAATGCTGGTGACAGTCACTCATCACCTTGACACGGTAGAGCCCTGCTTCTGGGCTCGGTAAACAAGCACTGACTGGTGGGACTGCATAGTTATGAATGTGTAAGGCCACTTTCGTGGAACTGTGCGAAGAGTTTTCCCCAGCCTTCAAGGGCAGCAATACTAAAATGAGAGCTGCTCTGACAGGTGAGAAGCAAGTGGCGATAACTGTGGACGCTTCCAACGCCAGACTGCTACCGGTCAGTGGGGAATCAATTTGGAGTGAATAAATCTACCGTGGGGTCTGTTGTGATCCAAGTTTCCAGGGCAATCAATACACTTCTAAGAAAGGTAGTGACTCTGGGCAACATGCAGGACATAGCGGATGGTTTTGCCGCGATGGGATTCCCTAACTGTGTTGGAGTGATAGACGGAACACATATCCCTATCTTGGCACCAGACCATCTTGCCAAAGAGGTACTTCTCAATGGTGTTGAAAGCGCTGGTGGATCATAGGGGTCGTTTCACCAACATCAATGTGGGATGGTCGGGAAAGGTGTATGACGCATGCATCTTTAGAAACTCTGGTGTGTTCAGAAAGCTGCAAGCAGGAACTTTCTTTCCAGACTGCAAAATAACAATTGGTGATGTTGAAATGTCAGTTGTGATCCTGGGAGACCCAGCCTACTCCTTGCTCCCATGACTTATTAAGCCGTACACAAGCAGCCTGGACAGCAGTAAGGAGCGGTTCAACCATAGGCTGAGCAAGTGCAGAATGGTGGTGGAATGTGCCTTTGGACGTTTAAAAGCCCGGTGGTGTAATTTGCTTACTAGGTTAGACCTCAGTGAAAGCAACATCCCATTGTTGTTGCTGTGTGCTCCGTAATATCTGTGAAACAAAGGGAGAAAAGTTTCCGGTGGGGTAGAGAATTGAGGCAGATCGCCTGGCAGCCAATTTCGAGCAGCCAGACACCAGGG